TTTTGCAAAAAATTCTGCAAAAATCTGCATTTTCGCAGGTTTTTGCAGATTTGCACTTATTTAATTCTCCCGATGATTAACATGAATTTAAACTAATTCAAATAGGTTGATATAAACAAGAGTAGACTATATAAACAATTTTTTAGACAAATTTGACTAGAATTGCCTTACAGTTTAAGAAATAAAAGCCATGTAACTGCTTTAACTGCAAGTGTTACTATACTGTATAGTGATAAGATTTTCTTTCAAGAATATTGATATCTTAGATTGAAAATAAAAAATATATTTTTTAAATAGTTATTAAAAAAGATAACGATAATTATTGTAAAGTGCTAACTAGTAAATCCCCATGTACCCGGAGGCAATTTGGAATTAAAATTAAATTCATGTCTGAATACTATTCATATAACTTTATGCATTAGAGAATACCAAATTGGTGTAAAACATTGAAGAATGGCAAAGCTGAATAAAAAATGTACACAGGGTACATCCCTTTGTACACCCGGATACATCAGTCAGCATTTTTGCGTTCTAATTAATGAAATTGTCGATTAGACAAAATAAGTCCAGAGCTTCAGTAAAATTTTATATACTGTCATTTTTCAGGGCATCACATCCAGAAAATGCAAAAACTACGTTCTTATTGGAAATGAATCAAAAACGTAAGTTCGGTCATAAAAAAATTCAATAGAACCAAAGAGGCCTGAATTGACTTCACAACCTAATTTACATCACTCTTTTTACCATTGATAATGCTCTGGAATTTCGTACAGTATCTAATATTACCACAAATTTTTGCGTAGTAAATATCCCAATACAAAAATGCTCGTTATTGATGATACTTCGGATCTTTTAGCTAGTAAATAATTTTTATTCGAATAAATATAATTTAATTTCTGCGACTTTTAGGTGAAACATTTGCTCGAATAAGAATTTGGTAGGCTCTATATATGGCACCTTTCTCTATCGCTATGTATACCAAAACTCAATACCCGCAGCTTTTACGGAGAATGGCGACCAGTATTTACAAAAAGGGTTTAGATATTGACATTTAACCATTTTTTGATATATAGTATCCATAAAAGTAGTAGAGCATATACCGTTTCATTTTCATGGTTTCAGTGATGTCATTGGGTGGAAGGCAGTTGAGAATTCAAAATACACACCTTTTGTGTGAACGCTCCATTTGGAATCGGAGGTGCTGATTCTGGAATTTGTGCTACAAAATCTCATGAACTAAAGAACATCCTTGTTCTCCCGACCTTTCCGATTATTTGTGCCACGGATTCGCCGCAATGACTCACTGTCTAAAAATGTCACATCATTTATATTTTCAATATGACCATTACTGTTACTTTTTGTATACAACTTCTAACTTTAGATCATTTAAATTGGTGTCCAAATTTTGGGAGTTCGTGTGACCCTTAACAGATAAATAAAAGATAGCAGTTGAGACGGTAGCAAACTGTCAAAACAAGAATTTCAGTGTTTTTGCCGATTAGAACAAATAACGGTTAACTTATATTCTCAATCGATATGTTCATTCAACCTCAACAGGGTCAAATAATAGACAAGCAGCAGCAGGTCAGTATCACATAATGGGATAAATTCAAAGTTGGCCAGGGACCGTTGTAGACTTTCAAGGTTAGATTGACTAACGGAAAAATGGTGAACACCATTTAAAATTGAACTTTATCGACAATATTATAATAGAGCCTTGTTGAGAAGAGAAGGCCCAGGCGAAAGTCATATGCGAATGAAAAGGAAAAGAGAAAATCAGATATTGAATATTCAAGAGTGAGTTGAAGCTACAGACTATATAATGCAAACATTTTCCTACATTTTTTATATTAAAAACATGCAGACAGTTTCCCGCATTATCTGTATTAAAATGCAGACACTGCAGCACATTTAACAAAATACGGTCACGTGAATGTAGACTAGCTAACTTATCGTTAAGAGTGATACTAAGGGAAAACCAGACTTTAAGCTTTTTAATTTAAGACTTACTGGACTCAAGTCTGAATAATTGAGTCCGGTAAGTTAGAATTTAAAAGCCTGAAATATAGTTTTCCTTGGAGTTACTCATGGCCAAATGTAATGTAGCATGTTCCACGTGCATAAGTACTTAACCGTGCATAAGTATGTAACTGCAATATTTTTGAGGTTTAGTACTTTTTATTACATTACAATGTAATAAAAACTCATGGCCTGCGTTCACGTGATTCGGTCCTGGAAACAACCTTTTAACCATACTTACGTTCTTGATGTATTGCTCACGTGCAGAATGAATTAAAGGTTCTCTTGGCACAATTTGGGACGAAGACAAAGGTAGCAGAAGATCTAGAAAGAGATGTCATAAGGCTTCAGGAAGATATCGAGCGTTTATTGGCAAAAGTGACGAAGAAAAGAAAAGTTAACAAGGTCCGTTCTTTGAAATATACCAGATTATACCATATCAAACTAATCGATTTGACCAACCATTTATTTGTTTAGACAATTCAAATTACACCACCACCACAATCACCAACAATATTAAGACGAAGATCCACGGATTTCCTGTTAAATATAATCAAGAATCTACTATCATACATTTTGATCCCTCTTCATATGGTATTAGCTATACCCAAAAAGCTATATCGTAGCATAAATTGTACAGTCATTTTAATTTTTATACTATTAATAGAATGTTTTATTATTTTTTTTATTTGGGCGTAAGTAGTAATTTCTCTTTCCTCGTTGGTCCATAATTCAAATATTTTATTGATTATACTTTTGTAAATTATCAGTGCCAAAAGATCATTTCATGCTCATTCGTACGTTGAGCCGTACGAGCCGGCAGTACATGGAACTTTTGGAGTAGACCAAACTACATCTTTTGGATTAATTAATTCAATACAAGACTTTTTTGCTGACATATTGATTGGAAACCGTAGATTCGGTGTTTCAAATTATGAAGGACTCGTGCCAGTATAGGCATTCTATGCATAGTACATTACAAGAAATTTTTTTTAATTTCATACATTTGCACTGTACAGTACGCATTACACATTAATTTAATGCATTCTTTCTCATCAATCACTTTTAAACCATTCCCCTTCTCCCGTATACATTATAATAATTTTTAATATTAGTGCTGGCTCACAATTTTTGTCATTCTTTTTTCCGTATATAATATTGATCATAATTTTTAACAAGTGCTGGACACGAGTGCTGGTTCACTATTGTGCTGGTTCACAATTTAAGCTTATAATATGTTCAACGATCATATGTAATGATAATAAAATGATCATGTTATGAAGTGTTCAGAATATTTTTAATGTTATGATTGTATAATTGTAAACTGTACTTGACAGTGTTATAAATCGATGCTAAAAAAACAGGGGTTAGGATAGTTGTAAAGTTGTAAAGCTGAAATGCAATATCGATATAAGACTATAAAAGGTCAGTTTTTATTAAACTTACCTTTTTTTCAAAGAACGCAGAATTGGTTTAATAACCCTATAAAAAAAATTTTATAAACGAAAACTCAATGTTTTAAATCAATCTAAAACGTTTTGTTTTTGTTGAGTTTTTGCAACATTTGGTATATTTTCTGTATAGTCAATATATTTTCTGTATACAGTCATCCTCCTCTACAGTCACCTCCTATATAACCACACCCTCTTTATAAGCAGCATTTTTTGAAAAATTATTGTCAATATACTTATTAAAAAAACTCTATATAATCACAAAATTTTATAATCATATCTTTTTTATGTTTAACAAATAGCGTGATTATAGAGGAGGGCGACTGTATTTTCTATATAAATATTTTTTATTGGGTAACCAAATTGTTCTAATCATTCTTTTTGTTCTAAATAGTGGTGAATATTAGTATCATGATTATTAAGATGGTTATACTTCAAGAATATAATTTCGAAGATTACCAAAAAATCTTGCGATAAATTGTCGTGACAAATCTATTAATAAAATTTATATATTTATAAATTCTATGCAAACAAAATTACGTATGATTGTTCATCACATACTATAGCTTATATTTATTGCATGTGAATTAAAAAAAATTCATATTATATATATATATATATATACCAATAGTTATTTCCTTGTGACGATAGTAATTTATTTGCAACGGATTATTAGCTCGACTATGCTCGTATTTTAGGTTCATTTATCTTCTATGTCGGGAGCTATATTTTACCTATAAGCATGATATTTCCGTGCTATCTTTGATACATTCTACGTTTACAGTCTGATTCCGTGATTTCTACGTCATTCCGTGGAATGCAGAAAATCATCGGCCCTGCTAATATATATTTTTATCAAAAATATGAAGAAAAATAAATAAAATGGAACAATTTTTTTACCCGAATATACTATTTCTTACAAAATAGGTTTGATGACGATAATCATTTATAGTTATTACTGTATTAACTGTTACGGTTTTGCTTCTGAATCATATGCGATATTGCTATTTTTTGAGTTATTTTGTTTGTTAATATTAATATTATTTCATCACTTTTGCAATATTGTTATTTATAGTGACTTATTTATAGTGACTTTTTCATTATATACAGTATAGTACAATGTTGGTCGATGACCTTCAATGACCTATGACCTTTATGACCAGCCATAGGTCATTTGGTCATAATGAAGGCTAATATGACTTATGATATAGTAAGAATTATAGTAAAAAATTTTTTATTAGCATTTAATATTGCCAATATGACTTATGACCTAAAAGTCATATGATTATATAACAAGGACATACCAAAAAAATGGCATGACTTAGGTCATCGGCGTATACAGTACAGTATATCATTTATTAAATAGGATCTTTGCTAGGAAAATGTCTCTTCGAGGCTATATACAGTAGATTTTATGAATAAAAATTAAATTTGCTAGCCATTCAATAATTCAATTTAAATAAAACTTTTATTGAATGCACCTATGATATTTAACATCTATGTATATATAATCTCAAAACTAGCTAATTGACTAGTGCAAGATGTTATAATGATTTGTTCGTTAATTTACGCTTAGTATAAATACGTATATAGTATATATAATTTAACCTGAGAGTCATATTTATATTAATTTTGCGTTAGTGAATTTAATGACAAGATTATTATATTTTACTATACCACTTGTTTAATCCTATTGATTCACTTAATATACAAAAAGCATTGATGCTAGTCATGTGGTTGGATAAATACCGGCTGGCCAAAGAATCTAATAAATTCAATTAAGACTTGAAGTCTACAGTATGCATTGTAAATAGCTTTAGCTAAGTAATACAGGTTGAATCAATGAATATCAAGTGCATATCAAGAGAAAAGTTTCAGATATGCACCTGTTAGTTTGCTATAGATTCGCCAAATACCTGCTGAATATAAACAGCATATTAGCAACACATTTATAATATATCAGGAGATAGATCAATATCGGTAACATAACAGCACAATGTTGAAATACCCCAATATCTTACTCTTAGCACTCTGGGCCTAAAAGTAAGATATCGGGGTACCCCAATATTTTACTATTATGTTGCTGATATTGATCTACCTCCTGATATCTTGCCAATATGCTTCCAATATGCTGCTTATATTCAGCAAGTACAGTATTTGGCAGATTTATGGCAGACTAACGGATATATATCAGGAAATTTTTCTTCTAGTATACACCCAATATTCATTGATTCAACCTGTGTAATTCGAACTAAATGATGCAATTTTCTTAAATAAGATTATGCCAAGTATCAGAATAAGTGAAAGGCAATATCAGCTAGTAGTTTCTCATCTGCTCGAAGCAGGCTAGCTGATAAATAATAGACTATGTATGTGGTGTGTAGGAAATGGATTAAGAAGAATTACTGTTTGCAATATATTGTAATCAGTAACTTTTTTATTATTAGATTTATTCAATTATTCTCTGATCCCAACTTATGTTAAATACAGGCTAGCTATTGGCAGAAACTTTGTAGTTACATGATCTTAGCTAGTAGTTTCCAACCTGCATAACACAGGCCGGCTATAAAGAGATGTTTAAGTTATCACAAAATAGCAAAGTTCTACTAAGAGAGGGTAGGGCTAAGTGTAAAATTGATTTATCTTTTGAAAGTGCTGCTGTCATGCTGCTTTGCTACTCTTCTGTTTTATATTTGTATGTTATTGTTATATATTTTTTGCTAAACTTGAATATAGTATTTGCATCATAAACTTTTAAAGTAATTTAATTAAATTTATATTTATCTTCTTCCTTGCATATACTAGAATTTCTTATCATCTATGTGATTATCACTTGTTAATGCATCACTGCTTAGCAGTTTTTTTAATCTGTTAACCTACTGTTAACTTGAAATAAAATAGCAGTCATGTAGTTTTAACCAATCATCACAATAATATAAAAACAATAATTACAATAAATAAAATAAACCAATTATTTTAATAGCACTTTATAGTTAGTATTAGAATAAAAAGGTTATATTTTAAAAATTATTCTAATGGCTCTTTATTGTTAGTAAAGTTCCAATTTAGGTAAATCTATTATATACAGTATGTTTAATTTGCTATAGTGAAGTTTATATATTAAAAAAATCCTGCAAATTAGTTTTTCGATATATCACTGAATAGTATTTATGGCCTATCAAGATTGCTTTTTTTTCTAATTTTCTTCTCCTAGCTTCTCAAATAGAAGGATTTATAGTCTCTAACTAATTTATGAAAAAAAAACTAAACTAACAAAAATAAAAGGAACAAACCAAAAAAGAAAAAAAAAAACTGCCTAAGCAACAAAAAAATGAATAACAAAAATAAATAAAAAAAAAAGGTAGAAAAAAAAACAATCTATGAAAGTACTATTATAGCCTGTGCTAGACATAGTTGTAAAAATTATATACCAAATTAAATTTAAAACAAACTAATTTTTTAAATTTAAAAATCTTGTATATCTTTGTTGTAAAGCTAAGCTTTATTGTTAAAATTTTCTTCTAACTTTAATATCTGATTCAGGTCAGTTCACTAACCAAAGCACTTATTAGTTTGTCACATAGTGTAGAATTATTATTGCCAAACCAATTACATATTTATGTTTTACTTTATTTGTTTAAAAATAAAAGATATAAACAATGCCAATTTTTTAAAGAGAGTAAGCTAAAATGCCCACTTTTTATTAAAATTTTGGTAAAGCTAACAAGATACAAGAGAGAAAAAAAAACACTTGAAACCACTAAAAAAGTGAGTTTTCTTTTACTAGAATCAACAAACACCTGAGCCTGCACAGTACTAAGAATTCTAGTAAGTGATAAAATCCAAGCTTGTTAGCAAGTAGCATATGAGAACTACTTTTGAACACAAGTGCAATATCTGCAGTAAGTGATAAACTCTGAGAGTAGTGTATAAGAACTATCTCTAAATAACAGCTGCTAACTTACAGTCTTTTTTCTTATGTCTTATATGAAAGTCAACAACTTTATTTTAATATATTATTATCAAGAAAATTTTTTAAATGCAGATTTGTGTAGATTTTTAAAACCCAATAATAGACAAAAATCTGTGAAGATTTGTAACCCCACAACTATTTTTAAAAAAATTTTTTTTATAAATTTTGTATATATTTTTAGAAATATATAAATCTGCACAGAATTTTATTAAATAATAAAAAATATAATAGCCCAAATTAAGCTTAATTTAAGCTAAAATTTAAAATTACTCCAAGATAAATTTACTAATTATATAACCAATAAAATTGTAAAAAATAATTATATTAATTTATTTATTTAAATATTAAATATTTATATACATAATTCTATCTTATACTAATCCTTATACTAATTCACACTACTCTAGTTTTCTAAAACTCTTATATTAATTTCACATTACTCTAACTCTAGCACTAGCTTTAAAAATTGTCACATTAAACAAATATATCAAGAAATAATATAAAATAATATTAATAAAAGCAAAAATACCAAG